ATATATATATATTTGTGTTTACATCAACCCAGGCAAACTAAACAAACAAAATCAAACCAACATTTTTAAGTCCAACTGGTAAAAGTTTCTAAAATTCGTGTAGCGTTCTTATGGTGGATGATTTATCATTTTCAAACTCCATCTCCCTCCTCTCCTGCGCTCACACTACCACACATACGCAGAAATGAAAAGGTGCTGAAAACACACAGCGCCGCTAAAATGAAAACGTACCCGAGTGCGAGTTGCTCCATGGCGGCAAATGTGGCTGCGCCGTGTGTGAGTAGAAGACATTGACATCTTGGTGGAAGAGCAGCTCCACAAACTTCGCAGACTCTAGGTGCCTCCTCTTGCAGCACAGTAAGCTGGGAGCCTGCTCCGACAAGTGCAGCACTCCACCGCTCGACAGGGAGAAAACCATGACGAACGAATCCTACACACAGGTGCACAGAGACGTATGTGCACGTATGGAGAAAAAACGCACACACACAGGCAAAGCAAGTCACAGAAACACACAGAAAGCGTTAATAAGCATGCAGTGGAGACATGAGGGAGAAACAAGTGTACACGTGTTTGTCAGAGGGACTGTCAATCATAGAGTGCATAAACTTTATCAAATGCAACAAATGTGTTTTATGAACGTGGTCACTGTGCGCAGAAAAAAAGGCAAGAAAGTTATAGTAGCTCCAGTTCTACAAACCGTCTACAAGAATATAAGCATGTCTGCATACCGTATTCTTCAGATTGTGCTCAGAAGTGACTCTCTGTAGTTCTTCCAGAGTGCAGACAGTGGCGTCTTTCCTCTGATCCTGACCATTTCGCATGAGCAGTTTGTAGTAGTCGCTGTTGGCTACGGATGACGAAACACAAACGCAGTTCAGAAAATAACATGAAACATACAAACGGTTTAAAGAAAGACGTTAAAACTTTGGAGGCATTCCAGGTCAACGTTTGTCTGGTTCTTCAGGTTACCTTGAACTTGCTTGACACAGTTGAGAGCGTAACTTAAAGCCTCCACGGTGCTGGCTTTGCTGCGGCTACGTTTGTCTGATGGAAGCCTCTTTTTCATCTCAGCGACAGTGGTCATCATTTCTCTGTGGTCCCGCCCTCTGCCACTACCTGCATGCTCACTGACGAACACAGAGACGTCTTAAAAATAAAGACATTTAGATCAGACGCTTACGAGACGTGCAAAAACAAAGCATTTGGTGCAAACATTTTGTCCGGTCTTGTTTTTGACAGACTTTGATTCAAAACATATGTTCAATAAATTTTAGCAGCAGTTTAAATTCAAGTCAGCTTTAAGAACTTAACAGTTTGCAAGCAGGCGACAAAAGTAAATATTTAATTATTAAAGTTATGCTAAGTGTGCTATGATCAGGTGTTTTTCTCGTGTGCTTTAAAAATATTAATTAGTTAGAGATGTTTAAATTCGAAACCCTGTAAAACTTTTTTTAGTTAGTTTTTTTGTACTGTAAGATATTATTTGTAGATTTATTGATTATCCTCTGAGTTTTGAGACGTAAAAATCTTTACAGCCACACTGATTTTAGTTTTTATTTCTTAATGTTTATCATGCTACTCATGCATCTTGATTTGCTGGATCGATTTCCAGAAAAGCGGCCATGTTTTTAAATCTGGGTGTAATTTTTTGTTTAAAAACAAACGTTAGCAGTGAATGCCTTTTTTTTTTTATTTTAACCATAAGGTTAACCATCAACACAATGCCACTTCTGAGGGAGATTTTAAACAAGCTGATGTGAATGAAACAAAAAGCTTAGACCGCATGCAGCTTGTCGGTACCTTTTAGTGAACGATGAGGAGGATCCCGTGGCACTCTCAGGGCTCTGATTGGCTGAAAGATCATGTGAGCTGCTCATCATCTCCTCATCTTCCTGCCCCGCTTCTTCTCTCATAGCTCCGCTCTCTCCTCCCACAAGGCAGTTGGTCGGTACCAGTCGCTCCCAGTGCCCTGAAGGCATCCTCTCTCCCCCTTCAGCCGCTGCTGGGGATGGCGGCAGAGCAGGCTCCTCCCCATGTGGACTGCCGTCGCCTCCTGACATCACCGCACTCCGGTCACACATTAATAGCATGTTGTCCAGTCCAACTTGTCAAAAAGTGTCTTCACATGTTCACCAGAAGGAGCAGGTTCCACGTGGGGAAGGTAGATGAACATTAAAGAAGGTAGATGTTGAATCCTGGATGTGACAGTCGGTCTTGAAGTCTGCAAGACAAAGAACATAAAAATAAATCTTAAGAAATAGCAGGACAAAGTCTAAAGTACTGAAGTTACTTAATGAAGAACTAATAGTATGAAGCACCAGTCAAAATAACCCACACTGAATTAGTTAAGGCTGAAAAATGTTTTCAATGATTTAAAGGAAATACTAAATTATCTGCAACTGTATTTTTTAGACTCTGCTTGACTAAGTAAACTTGGATTTACATAATAACATAAAAGTTGAGTTATATGATTTACCAAAAGTACAGTTTTCATGTTTTTCCAATCTGCACTCTTACCCAACGTTAATGGTCTGTCTGTCTATCAAACTGACTCACTCACATCATCCACGTTTTATACATAAACGCACGTCATCCATCACTGCTGCTGAGGTCAGCAAACTCTGACCATCACAATAAAACACAATTATTAATAAGATGATAGTTGTGTAGTAGCTTTAACTTACAAAATAAATTAGATGTGCGTCATCTTTTACATTAAGGGGCTTAAAATCACTCTCTGAGTTTACTTTTACAGAACAGACTAAGAAAATGAAGTGATGTATTTATAAATTGCAGCCACAGGCACAAACACAACACTGATAAAGTACACAGTGACAGAACGTGAAATGCAAGTGATAAACATTCCTTCTCATGTCATTGACGCAGGAATACACAACTGGTTTATCCCATTAGGAGTGTCTAAACAACAACTTTAGATAAAACACCTGCAGGTTCTGTCTGCAACTATGATGCTCAGGCTTTGCCATATTTTACAACATAAAAAGCCCCAAGAAAAGCTGTAAACTTCCTTCTCCCTATTTCAAACCTTGGTCAACGCAAACTTGTAGTCAGCTACACAAAAACATCTATACACCTGCTCTTTTTACATCTGAGAAACAGAAAAGAAATTAAAGAATAAATCGGTTAAAAACTACAGTCTCAAGACATTGGACAGCTGTTTGTTAATCTTGTGCACTTAGTTCAGACCTGTCTGTGAAAGTGACTTGAACAGCCATAAGACTGTAGATATTTGTACAAAGATAAGAGTGAAATACTTTGTTGATAGTACAACGGCTCACATTGGGTCATATCTTCTCACAAACTTGTGCACAACAACAACAACAACCAAAAAAAAAAAAAAACCTCAGAACAATTCATACTACAGAAAATAAAAATTACTTCACTGACCACAAGGATGTGTCCTAAGCACCCTACTTATTGGTGGCCTCAGACTATGCAAAGACAAGAAAACAAAGTGTAAAATGACACAATATTGTGGCTGAAGCAGAACAACTGGGAGAGAATTTACAAAAAAGTAGGTGAGGCTATTCACAGACCGGTGTGATCCTAACAACATCAAAAAAGCAAAAACAAAAAATCAAGGGGATGATAATAGAACATAGGACCCGGTCCATGCACCTTCAGCAATAACACGGGACACTTCTTTTCTAGTGATAAAAACCAAGCAAGATTATTTAAAATATCTATCCAACCTTAAAAGATAAAAATGAGAGAAGCATCAAAAGTGCAAACTTTATGTGTTTTAAGTTTGATTGCATTCAGTTATAAAGCTTAAAATGTGTATTTTCTACTATAAGCATCTATTGTACGTTTAAGCGACAGTACAAATTACAAATCAAACAATTGTTTCATGCGTTTTGCTTTAGGTTTCATAAAACCATATAAAAAGGTTTCTGTGACACAGATGTTAGTTTTATTCACAAATTCCATAAAAAGCTAATTTGAACATCAAATCTCAAGAGTATCCTTATTATGAATGACAAAAAATATATAATACTAAGTCCGAAACTGCTCTACAGAGTTTCTGGTAATCTATGGCAACTAGCGCAACAGGTCAAACAGGAATCTGCAACAATTTTGCACAAAAAATGTCTCATATTGTCAGAGCTGACCCTACTGCCCAATAATAAAAACTGATGTGATACCATTTAAAATTGTCTGTAAAACTATTTATGTTTACATCTGATATGTGTATATATGAACAATTTGCCAAATGTTTGTTTTAGAGCTAAATATGAAGACGTTTGTGGTAGTGAAAATCTCTTCAGGAACACACGGACGTCATGATTAAAACAATCTCTGTGAGAATAAAACATTGTTGAGCTTCATATAAAATAACACACAAAACACTGCTGAATTTACGGAAGTGAAACTACAGGACACAGATAGATGGATGAGTAACACAATAGTTATAAAATCACAAGATTGCATAACAATCATTAAAGGACTGGCAAGAGTACCTGTATGAGGAAAAACACAAATAAAGAGATTAAAATAAATAAAAAAAACCTAATAATTATGCTGGAGTGTAGCTTTAAATCTATGGGGTAAACGCATATGAAGAAACAAAATATTCATTCAACCTTTTAATCTCATTGAGCCTCAGGGACTCATTTAAAATAGAGTGATTTGGTAAATGCACCTTTATTTAAACAGATACTATTACTTTACTTATATGCTTTTAATTGTAGAAATAGCTAATATAAATAATAAAAAAAAAATCTTAATTAGCTCACAACCTTATTAACTCAAAACAACCACAACAAAGCTTATAGCCCCTCCCAGAGTAAACCCACTGACCCTAATATCCTCCTTAACCACTGCCTGCCTCTTCTTTAATACTTGCAGGGACACATTTAAATGCACCTCGACATAAAGCACAACAAACATGTCATTTAACTACATTTTAACTACAATGACTGTTTTGCCCACACCTACACTTTAAAGTGCCAGGATTACAATGTAAATATAAAATATCACCTGAAGATATCAGTCTTCACTCAGTCACTTTAGTGAATTAAACTGCTGGCTTTCTGTTTATAACAGCAGGACTTGATAATGAAGCTCTGTGTGTCACGCTTCGACTACACGCGCTAGCAAACCAGGCGCAACTCGTTAGTTGCGACATGTTTTTAAACTACTGACAGTTGCCCACAGCCATGTCACACTACAGGTATATAACCAAAAAGTAATTTAAAACATACTGAAAATAGAACATTAGGGTTGTAAGGCACAACACATCGATCTAATTTTAAGTTTTTAATCTACTGTTACCTCTTGTTTGTGTTACCGCGGTCACGTCATCGTCGCTGTTTAGAGTTCCTCAACGTTTGTTGCGCGTCTACACGGCTTGTTACGGTGCATTCAATTACGCCTCGTAAATGCAATCACCAACATTGAAGTAGCCTGTAATTCAGTAATAAGAGGCAGAGTTATGGTTATTTGTATGAATTCGACTTAAATTAAAAAGCATAATAAAATAACTGTGGCATAATTGTTAAAATAACTTGATTTTTTCTTTTAATTAAATATCAAGTTATTTCACGAGGGATAATTGAATGCACCGTGGAAAAAAAATACACTGTCCAGATTTAACTCATAGACATATGATTTACCCTTTTTTTTTTTTTTTTTTTTTTTTGTCACAACTCCAGTCTGCATACAGAACCGTAACACGCTGTGTAAAAGCGCAACATTTTTTCAGAAACACAAGTGCGGACTGCGTGACCGCGGTCTAGCGTGGAAGGTAAGGTGCTTAGCTAGCTTATCCAGTTCACCAACACCAAACTGATCGTGTTTAGGTCAAATATTTACCTTTTATAGATCCACGTTTGTCTTAGCGTTGACATCCAAAACTTGAAGGTCCTCAAAGCGATTATTAATTTATTTTTTCCACCTTATTTCCCAGTTACGCATCCAAAACGTCATGATTCAGAGGCGCTTGACACATAAGTGCAACGTGAGTCCGGCATGGCATGGCCACGCCCACACTACGGCGATTGGACGGATGCATATTAAATGCGTTATTTGATTGGACAGAAGGCGAATAGTGGGCGTGTACACCTTCGCATTCTGTCAACAGCTTGCGGATGGCTCACGTGTATTCCCATGTTACGCAAGAGGACAACAAGCCGGAGCAGACTGCGCAGAAGCACCTGTCACATCAACACCCCGCTACATTCACGCTTTTTCCACTGAATGAATGGAGAGATGCTGCACGCTCAGGCTTACAGGTGCATCTAAAAAAAAAAAGATCATTGTGAAAAGTTTAAAATTGTTTGTCAATCATTTCAGAAAGTGAAACTAATATAGATTCATTAAACAGTGAAGTATTTCAAGCCTTTATCTACTGTAATTTTGATTATGGTTTCCAAATAATGAAAAAACAAAATTTAGTGTCCAAGAAAATCAGTATATAACATAACCAGCTTTTGGTACCTTTAGGCAGCGCAGGGGCCAAGTCCTGCTGGAAAATGAAACCAGCATCTCCATAAAGCTCGTCAGCAGAAGCATGAAGAGCTCTAAAAATGACCTGGTAGATGCTGCGTTGAATGTGGACTTCAGAAAACACAGTGGACTAACGCCAGCAGATGATAGAACTTTATTGATCCTGCAGGAAAATTGTTGAATGACATGGCCTCAAAACCATCGCGGACTGTGGAAACTTCACACTGGACTTCCAGTAACGTGGATTCTGGGCCTCTCCATTCTTCCTCCAGTCATGGGACCTTGATTTCCAAATGATTGGATCACTGAGCAACACTCCAGTTCTTTGTCTCCTCAGTCCAGGTAAGACGCTTCTGACATCTCTTGTTCAGGAGTGGCTGGACTTGAGGAATGAAACATTTGTGGCTCAGGTCTAGGAGTTAATCAGCTGATTAGGGTGTGACATCATGAGTTTACATCATTGAAACTTTTCAAAATATTGTAATTTACTGAGACATTGAAGTTTGGCATTTTCATTACTTCTAAGCCATACCATAATCATCAATATTACAAATAAAGGTTTGAAATATTTCACTATATGTACCGAATCTTAATACGAGCTTCACTTTCTAAAATGATTGACAAAAATAAATAAATAATTCCCATTCTAATTCTTTAGATGCATTCAGCTTCTACCCTGAGGCTGTTAGACTCATGAATCTCTAACCAGAATAATCACTGTGAAAAAAAAATCACATCATGTCGCTGCTGATCTGTTTCGATGTTGCTGCTGATCTGTTTCATGTTGTGTTCATGTGTGCTCATCTGCTCACACAGACTCATGTTCATGTTCGTGATGATGTTTGACGTAATGTTTATATGCCATTAGTGCTTAGTGTATATTTAGTTGATGTTTTTCTTAGTTCATATCTTAGATCTTATTACCGTTTTTCTTATACATTTTATTGTTGGATGTAACTGGGACCCTGTGTACATAATTTCGCTCCACCACATGTACCACATGAGGTGCGAATGACAGAAAAAGGAGCGGTGTTGCGCTGATAACTGCTTGTGTTTAACACAAGGACTAATGTTGGCAAGTTTAAATTGTTCAAATAGAAAAACAGGTATTTGCGCCATAACTTAAAAAAATCCAATGCACACTTTTAAAATAGAATGTTATCAGTAACTTGATCCACAGATTATATTTGAAAATTGTAATAAATGTCATACCAAATGACAAACAAAAATACAAAATATTTTATCATAACTTATCTGTTTATTTAAGCAATAGTTATTTAAAGCCAAGCGTACAATAGCATTTTTTCCCACATACGTTAGGTAGGCATAAGGCTTAAAAGTTATTGGGTGTGAAAACATTGTAAAAAGAAACAAATAATACACTGCCTGTTGTATGTAATAAAAAATGTGGCCTGTACATGCATTTTAATGGTCGATAAACATTTTTGAAGAAGGCTACAGCCTGCCTAACCTAAAAAACAACATCTAAAGAGCCCATCTTTGTGAGTATTCTGTGTAATTATCATAGAAGCACTGCAAATGCCAACAACCAAATGTATTCTTCAGAAGTCAACAGTCGGATTGAAATGTACAACAGAGAAAAATCCCCAATCCAGTGTTGGTATAGCATAAATTACAATGGCACTTCTAAGAGTTCAGCTGTAGCAAGATAAACGCCATCAACATACTTTAACCTCCCTGGCATTTAATTAGTTTTATATTGTAAGAAGATGCAAATAAAAGCCGTTCTATACTGAAACTGGGATATTACATGTGAGAATTACATTAATCACATGGAATGAATGCCAGTGGGGTTTAACCGAGGAGTTTATTAGAGGTTAAATTCAGCTGACTAAAGCAGGGGGTGGGGGGCACAGTAACTGCACATGGAGCACTCAGAAGGCACTACGCTTCACTGCAGCTACACATGATCAATAAGTTATGGCTGTATTTGCTGTTCTCCATTGGAGAAACTCATTACATCCGTCTAAAATTACATTTATGTACGTTGTGCTTAAACATTTCACATAAAGCTACTTTTTGCTATTTTTAGAGCTCCTAAATGAGACTATTTACCTAATGCCAGCACTTTTGTTCTGTTCTCTTTTACTTTTTGAGGCAGTATCCTTGACATTTGTAAGGACAGAAGGCTGTTTGGTCTTGGCATAGGCACTTTTCTACACAAGCCCGTTTTAGCTTTACAGCATGGGGGAGTGCTACCGAAGGGAAGGATGAATGCAGGGATGTGTGATCAGGTGGTTCAAAACAATCTAAACTTCCTCTCCAACCACTTCTGTTTGTCATGTCTCCTACAAATACGTCAATTAGCATTTCATCGTGAAAAAATACAATAACGCATTGAAACCCACAATACACTAGTCAACTGTAACAATTTGGAAAACAGACAAAATCCATCTTTAAAACAAGAAATATCAAAAGAGTTATATCACTGAAAAGCAAAACCTTTTGACACAGATCATCATCAAAGGCACATTTCTTAGCTCGGCACACAAAATGAGTGTGTTAACGCATAATTTAATAAGCGGAAAAGTTTACAACACTTCTGGTCTGAAGCGTGGGAAGTGTACGTATGTGTGTGGGCACCGTGTCACAACTTTGATAATTCATGTAAAAGATGTATTTGTACTATGTTCTCTTTGGCTTGTGAAGATGTGGGCTTTAAATTAGTTTTGCAATGCATTACGTTAATATATTATTACAGAGTAAACCTGCAGATAAACAGCCTTTTACTAAGGCACACAAAAAACACACACGCAGCAATACAGGACAAGGAATGAACAGAGGTGAATTTTGTGATCATGTGATTTCTTCTGAGACTTGAAGTATGCACTTTGCCCCACTTTTCATTTTTTTTTAACTTCACTCTTCATCCTGCTGCTGGTTTAAGAGCAACTCCAAACTGTGAAAGAAGTTAAGAAATTTTTAAAACATACTCTCTCCTAAGAAGCCTGAAAACAAAAATGCTTTTAACATAGAGAATAATATGTACTACTGCAATTGCTGTTTAACAATAACTTAAATGTACACATATTTAACTAAGTTGATTAGCGTTTAGTCTTCCTAATTTACTAAAGCATTTCAAAATAATCTAAATAATCTGAAACTGAAGTAGCAACAATAACTCATATGAAGGTAAACTCTGGTAAAGTAAAAAAAAAGACTTTTTAATGCTGATAAATAAATTCTAGCTAAAGGCTAGAGATGTGATGTCACAAAAAAGTAGAACTCTCATAACTTCGACATAAACTGTTAAAAAGCCTTTTTAAATATTAACTTGATACTTACTGATAATGATGACGATGATGATCACTACAACAGCTATCAGGATGGCCCACATCTAAAAGAAAAGGTAGATTTTAAAAAGTCAGTGCTGCATAAAAAGAATCAAAGGTTGAACCTATTTATTAGGAGAACATTAAACCTGGTAACGTTTGGTAAGGCTTCATCTTTTTAACATTTATTTTTATTGTGCAGGCAATCCATTTATCTTCAATTAATATTGCTAACATTTGGTTAAGTGCAAAACTTTGTCCAATCATAGCGAAACCATGGTCTAGTTAAGATTAGGTAAAGTTTTCATCAAGATTCCTTACACGTAGGCCTGTCACGATAACAAATTTTGTTGGGCGGTTAACTGGCTCAGAAATTATAGCGATAAATTATAATACTGTTTATTAATAATTAGTAATTATTGACAAATTTAAGAAGAAATTTTGAATTTGTTTTGCATGTAGTACCTTTTTTTGACCACCGGATGGCAGTATAAGCCTGAACCGAAGGATGGATAGTGAGGGAGCGAACAACGTGTCTCTAAGAAAAATGGGAGGGAGGCCCCTTGACATGACATGGGCTGTGTCTCGTGTCCATTTTTCGGTTCTCAAAATGGCGGACGCTCTGTGTGGTTTGAGCTCTTGAGTTCTAGGTTTGGGTTCTTTTTTATTGCACTTATGATTCATGCAATAAAACAAATTTAAAAAGGTAACAGATCATTGTAATACTTGGTTTATTTACATAATGACTAATTGCTGGATGTCCGGCCCCTGAGCTGCTGGCTTTCAGTAACTGTGGCCCCCTGAGCAGTTTAGTTCAATAGTCCTGGTCTAGTTAAGATTAGATAGTCTTCATCAAGAATCCTTACACGTTGTTAGGCTGATGGTCCGTCATGTGAACAGCTAGTTTTGGCTGTCACCAGCAAACTGGTTGATCCACTATGAGAAGGGGCTATTTATAAGACTGAGCTTATTACCGCTCCTCAAACTGACAAAGTCTTTTGGATTAAAGATGAAACGTTTCAACAAGTTTTTTTATTATTTATTTTTAATCCATCTAGAAAACCTGACAGTTTTGTGAGAAGAATCCTTAGAGTTTTGACACTTTAGGACCCGACTGTAAAGTTACCTTGCAGTTCTTCCACCAGTACTTCCTTTTCAGTTTCGCAGCACTGGTCTCGAACTGGGAGGCTCCAGCCTGCAGCGCATCTGCTCTGTCGTCCAGTTCAGACAGTTTCTGATCTCGTTCCAGCACTTTGTCCACGTTCACACGCATAATATCCACTACCTGTTCAGAAGGGAGGAAAAACGCACACGCACAAAATGAATGATGGACATGACTGTACTTTAAATAGTATTTTCTTGATAATTAACGTACAGAGAAAGTTTCAAAGTGTATTGTACATAAAATATGATTACATAACTGCTTCAAATGTGTAACATCCTCCAGCAATGTTACTTAACAGTGTTGCTAAACAAGACAGGTCACACCTGGTAGTAAAATGTACATTACATATGCATTTTATTTTACTAGCAGTGTTTATCTTCTCACATGTGCACACGCAGCACCGCAGAATACACAAAGCCCATATGTTCCACTGATCCACAAACCACACTACTGCCCCTCCTCACACATGGAGCGGCATGGCAGAGGAGTGTGTAAGCTCAGGCAGACATTACATAAGCTCTGAGATGATGATTACATAAACTTCTGACAACCAATCGGATACTCTGTGTGACGCTCTGAGGTTAAAGTTCTGCGGGGGAGGGGCAAACCTCAAGAAGGGAAGAGAAAGAGGGAGGAAGAGGCGTAATGGAGATTATCAACCGATGCTGACAACACTGACTCTTGTGACTTGAGTGTCTTAACTAATGAGAAAAAATGGCTTCAACTCAGGATTTTTTTTGGCATAGAAGTGAAGGCAGAGCGTTAGAGAGCAACTGATTCCAGAAGGTGAATCACAACACTTTGGTTTTAGTTTAGTCTGCTGCAGAAACTTGCATTATTCAGAAAGGGTTGGGGGGGATTGGGTTCTGCTTTGGTGCGAAGCTTGATTGCATGAATATAATATGGAAATTCAAAAATGGTGATCAGGTGATATTTTTAATGCCTTATAAAAGATCAAGAACAAAAAATGAAGTTGCCCTATTATCCTAGTAATAAACAAATCAACAGAGAAAATACTGAGGAAAACGTTTTAAATTGATTCATTACTGATGACGAATAAACGCAGCTTACCTCATCCACCTGGGCCTGAGTCTGCTGCAGACGCCTGTTGCCCGACTCTGCCGCAGAACCATCTGGACCGACGTTTGACCTGTTAAAATTATGAAAATAGTGTGTCTTCCTTATTATTTTATTATATTACAACTATTTTATAGAAAATATGAAACATTGGCATTTTTCACCTCAGAGACCAGTGATGCTGCTGTCACAAATTTTTATATTTTCAAATTAAGAAGCCATTTGTCTTGCTGTTAAATATTTTTATAGTATAATTAACACAATATAAACTTACACTGTGTACTGTAGCGCTAAGTTGTGAATAATTACCAACTACAGTATATTTTTGTTTGTTTTGAGAGGGTTGGTTTTTTAACCAATTAACAAACAATTGTGTTTTGGGATTTCACATTTCATATTACACACACAATGTGACTCATTTTATTTTCTGTATTTTTTAAACAGAGGTGCAGCTTCCAGTAGTTTCAATCCTTCCCTGCTGCCAGATAACTGACTTTCTACGGCGGCGGTGGCTGAGTGGTTAAAGAGTTGGAGGGTCGATTGTCAGGGCAAGACATTGTACCTACTGTTGCCTCGAATGTGTGTCCCATCGGTGTTTGAATGTGATGTAAAGCGCTGTAGTCTGTAAATGTGCTGTATGAATGTGTGCGGACGGGTAAATGAGGGCATGTAAAGCACTCTGAGTATCCTAGTTTGATAGAAAGGTGTTATGCAAATACAGTTCAAGTAGAGATGCACCGATCCGATACCAACGTCGGTATCGGTACCTATATTAAAAAAACAAAACTTCTGGATCGGTGACAATGTGACCGATCCATGACTGGGCAGATCTAGTCACTCTAATTCTATGCTTTGTGCTCGGATTGCTTTTTATTTTAAATATCTGCCAACCAAGCTAGTGAAGAGTTCGTTTTTTCCTCTTATTTCAGCTCTTTTATTATTTATTTTACATTATATTTTAAATTCCTGAACCATTTGAAAGGATTGTTGAAGTTTATTTTTTCGTGTTTGACCAAAGTAGTCAACCTTTGTTTTGTCAGTTTCAGTATCTTTATTATTATTTATTTTACATTGGACGTTATAATTGTACTGACTGAACAAATTAAAGTTGTGTTGTTTTTACACGTTTGACCGAGCTTGTGAAGCTCTTGGTGTGTTTAAGTGTCGTTATGGTGCAGACTTTTCCAAAAATTTGTAATTCAGTAAATTCATGTCTGCGTTTAAAAAAAACAAATGTTTTAAGTTAATGTAGCTCTGGGTTTGTAAGCTCAATCATCCAGGTAGACAACAAAAATGGCTAAATCATCATGTCATCTGGACCCGTTTCAGAAATGGGTCCAGATTGCACTGTTTCTGCATCAGATCGGTATCGGCCGATACTAAACAGCACATATCGGTACTGGATCAGAAGTGGAAAAAGTGAATCGGTGCATCCCTAAGTTCAAGTGTTGTTAAAAAAATGTGTTTGGTATTTTTACTTGGAAAATGGGAGTTTGGCCAATAAAGCAAAAGAACATGAGAGCTGAAAGCCACAATGCATGCTGGTAAAACAAAGCCAGTCCAGTATGTCTCTTTGTTCTCATGGGAGTTGAATGCTGTTAAGCATTCACGCAGTTGTTTTCCTGTTTCTTTATTACCGTATCACTGCTACTGCATCACTATCGTTCTTCCATAAGTTTTTAGGCACTTGGCTAATTTCAGCATTTTTGTGCCTTTTCAGCTACAGTTTAGCTTTGTTAACAGTTTCTGTTTTAAATGTGCTCTATAAATAAATCTGACTTGACTAGCTGAGTTTCTGCTAATTTTAGCTTTTTCAACTAATCCCACCTTTTTTGTGCTTATTTCCACTTCTTTCAACCTAATTCAGCAAACGTGTGCCATTTTCACTTCCTTCTGTTAATTTTAGCTTTGTTCTGCTTTTCAGCAACTTTTCAGCCTTTTTTTATTTAAGCTATCTTCAGCTAATTTTACCATTCTTGTGATCATTTTACTTTTTTAGCATGTTCCTGCTTTGTTGTGCTAGCATTTTACTACCGGTTCTTCTGACTTTAAGCTAGCTTTATCCTTATATTTGCTTATGTTTTGCTCTAAACTACCGGTAACATTTTCTTGCTTTTTGCTAACATTTCAACAAACCACTTAACTATTTTTGGCTACATTTTTAACTGTTCAAATTAAATAAACAGTGACAGTTCAGCAATTTAAAATTTACAGCTTTATTTTCAGCATCTTCAGCAGCTTTCAGCAAAATCGTTCAGCAATAAGCATTCGCACTGCATTTACACAGGGAATGCTATTTCTCTAGTTAAAATAAAACAATACAATGTGGAAAAAAAAAAGGGCAAACCTGAAAAAAATAAAATCTTAGTTTTGCATCTTTTGGAGAGATAATAAGTTTAACGTGTTAATGAACTTGTGCTGTATTTGCTCTAGCCACCATTAACTCCCACTTGTAAAAACCAATGGGGCATTTTAACTTCTATTAATGTAATATATTGTCAGGTTGGTGGCTGAACCATCCATCCATCCATCCATTTTCTTTACCCATTTATTCCATTTTTGGGTCACGGGGGTCGCTGGTGCCCATGTCCAGCAATCACTGTGCGAGGGGCGGGGTACACCCTGGATGGGTCGCAAGTCCATCACAGGGCCACATAGAGACACACGAGACAAACAACCATTCACTCTCCCACTCACACCTAGGGACAATTTAGAGTTACCAATCAGCCTAACATGCATGTTTTTGGTCTGTGGGAGGAAACCGGAGTACCCGGAGAAAACCCACGCATGCACGGAGAGAACATGCAAACTCCACCCAGAGGGCCCCTGGACCGGGGTTTGAACCAGGGACCTGCTCACTGAGAGGCAGCAGCTCTACCAGTTGCGCCACCGTGCTGCCCTGGTGGCTGAACCAGTAACTCCAAACTAAAACAATAAGATAATTGGGGACATATGGTAAAATTTTCATTAGAATACATTAGATTTTGATCAAATTTAAGAATGAGTGAAAAACTAAAAGACTTAATGAAAAGGTTACCAAAATTTAAAATCAAATACTCATAATAGTACAACACTTTACAACAAAAGTTGTGTAATTTACACATATTAAGACATCCCGCTTAATTTAAACTTTTTTCTTCCGGTTAATACTTTCAGATTTGTTTTACCAACTTTTGGAATTTGATAACTGGGAAAAGTATAAACAAATAGCTGTTTATTATTTCAACTTACACCGAACTGATCTGTTTCATGTTGATGTGTTCATGTCTGCTCATCTGCTCACACAGACTCATGCTCATGCTGCTGTTCAACGTAATGTTTTTATGCTATTAGTGCTTAGTGTACTTTTAGTTGATGTTTTTCTTAGTTCATATCTTAGATATTATCATTGTTTTTCTTTTACATTTCATTATTGAATGTAACTGGGACCCTGTGTACATAATTTCCTTCCACCACATGTACCACATGTGGTGTGTACCAATAAAGAATCTCTGACTCTAAATTGAATAGACTTAGTAATCTTTTACAGCAGCCCTTTACTGCCACCCCTTGACCTGAGACAGAACTGCTCAGTGACCAGTCCATGTGGGAGGTTTCCCACTGCTCCTCTTGTTCGGAGGGTTAAAAGTGACTAAATTTAAAAATAAATACAACATGACATAAATGTGAATGTCCCATGAAAAAAACTCCCATTAAATAAATAAATGTACCATTAAACGTTTGATTAAATAATTAAGTTTCAATTATTTATTAGATCATTAAAACATTAAATATACCACTAAATTATGAAATGCAATTAATTAAATGTTCCATTAAATAAATGTATCTTTTAAATAATGACATTAAATATTCAAAAGTAATTTTCATAATTTATTTATTTTAAAATACATTTAAACATTTCACTCTGTACTCGTTTATTTCATGGCTCCTATGCAGGAGTGTCATGAATTATGTTAACTGTCAACCTCGCTCATCAAACTCTGTGGGCGGGGCTAATGCTGATCATGTGATGTCCATTATTTGGTCAGATGTCTGTTTAAACATGGCGGCTCTCTCCATGCTGGACCTCACTGAGCTCCCATAAACCGTTTAGAGACGTTTTAGACCAAGCTGGGGGATATAGAAGCTGGAGTTGCTCACCCAGAGTTAGCGGTAGATAAATTACAGCAATTTATTCAAGTTACTGGAGTTTTTCTGCACTTTCCAACTAAGACGCAGCAACCAGAACTTCGGCCCAACGACGTACAGACGAGACAGAAAACTCAACATCCACCCCTACAACATCCAACGAGGATGGATAACGAGGTGATGGGAGTCCCTGACGGTCTGAGGACGATAACCAGCGGCTGCACGAGATGATAACGGAACAAATGAAGTTTGTCCAACAGGGTTTTAAGGCCTTAATGACACAGCTGCTCAGTAAATCTTAATTTGTATATGAAATGTTGTTTTTGCACATTTACACAACTTTTAAATATCATGTTTGAAAAGCTGACAAAGTCAAGCCTCGGTTTTTGAGCTGTTTTTTTAAAACTAAACTTTTCATGTTAATTTGTTCATATATTAATGTTTACCCTGAAGTTTTCATATAGCAGGTACTGTGATTATTTTTACTTTGTTAAAATGTTATTTCAATATTCATCACTGAGACCTTTTTCTTCTTAACCACGAGCTGGGAGTAATAGATGAAACAAAGAAAATGAAACAGTAACTTGTGAGACACTTAATGATGCACATCACAGAGAATAACTCAACACAACATATAATAATAATAATAACGTATTACTACTATTTATTTATACAGCACTACAAGAATCATTTAATTCATTTTTATCACATATCAAAAATATAAATCTAATCTTTTCCTTTTTTCCACCCAAAGGTTTCTTGCAAAGATCACATTACATCAGATGTGCTCAGAATCCAGGTCTCCGGCACAAAAGGTGATCATTCTTTACATTTGATCTCCCTGCGCTGTAACTCTGGATGTTCCTGGCATATTTCTGACGCACCGACGAGCTGCTCCACCACCATTATTTAGCGCCACCCACACAATGGTTTATGGGATTATTGCGGGGCAACTGACAGTGAAGTCAGTGAAGGACGGGTTATCAAATTTAGAAAATTGGATTATTGCGCAGCTTAAAGAGTTTTTATTGGTTTGTGGTGTACCAATTTAAAAAACAAACAACAACCATAATTGTCAAGAGCCGTTATGCTGCTTGTATGTTGGGATTGAAGCCTAAAATGACTAGCCTACATACAACTACTTGAGGTAGTCCATACGAACATCTTTTTTAATATTTAGAGGCCAGAATGTTCTGTAGACAGGCATGTAATGCATGACCAAGATCGCTGTAAACCGCATCAAAAGATTTAGCACTAGATCTATATTCTGATGCATGCTCAATAATCTAGGTAGAAAAATCTAAAAAAGTTAAGTTGGGCCCTCTGGATGGGTTCATAAAAATTATAGAAATGTTTCGTCTTTCATCCGAATACTTCTTCAGTCTGAGTATTTTCATTATTATTATTATTATTATTATTATATTTGTTGTTTTTTGAACCCGTCCAGAGGACCTGACTTAACTTTTATAGACACTAGATCAATACTATACTAGAACTAGGTGTGACCATATGAAGTTTACATTATTCCACATATTCTCACTTGTTCTTGAATCTGCGATTGTTGTTGTACTACATATACATGGCACAGAGATCTGTACGACCCATTTTCACATTTGTTTGCACACAAGGGTTCCCCTAAACACGACCACAATGCTTTGCGCTAAACAAAGATGGCGGTATCCACGAAACGGCTTGTGCACAAAGATGCAGCATCAATCAGACCACAAAGAAGTCTCCACAAGAACTGCAGCAATCTGAAGTTTTGCTCATCTCCACCTAGTTCCAGTCTTTGGGATCCTAAGTTAAAGAGAAGGTGTGCAAAAGTTAAAGTATGTAAAGAATATGCCACATTTCATCACGAATCTACCATTTACTATTATTGTTGTGCTACTAATCCTAAATTAGACAGGTGTGTTGAAGTGACGAATAAAATAAATATGCAACATTTCATCATAAATAAATCCGCTGTCTACGTTACTCTTGTATTATGTGACCACTAGTAAAAAAATGACAAACTGAATGTAATAGTCACTTTCTGTACAAACAACAAAAATCAACAACTATACCTTCCTCCTCCTCCTGTGACGTGTTCTTCAAATGGACTGCATATTTGCTCGACGTTTTATACTTCAAAACAGCGAGATGCACACAGGCTTGTTGCTACAGTTCCAACTTTCAACAAGCAGGAAACTGGAACGCCGTCAACTCATAAATGACGTCACTCTGACTGCAGCATGACTCTGTGGAGGTGGCCTCTGATCAACAGATTAAATGTGCCGTTTCTTGGAGCAGCTGGGAACAGCTTTTTGATATTTTACCTTCATCTTGAACTACCGATTCTGAGTTGTTTCATGAAAGTAGTTTTCATCCACATCTACGTAAAGATGATTACCGCTCCCGAATGTGTTTTATGGTTGTGCATCAATCCATTATCTGTGGTCGATTTGTCTTGACTTGCTGTGTGGAGCAGCCTTCAGGGTCTGTTGACGAGCCACCCTAGCCCCGTCCACTGAGTTTGATGAGTAAGGTTGACAGTTAACATAATATCATGATGACACTGCTGCACAGGAGCCATGAAATAAATAAATAAGTAAGTTTCTTTCGGCTGCGTCCTTCTTCGGGGGTCACCACAGCGACCGAACTCGCATGAAGGATTTGGCAATTTGTTTTACACTGGATGCCCTTCATGACGCAAGGTGGGCTCGAACCCACAACCTCAGGATTACAAGACTGCAGCACTGACCACCAAGCTACCACAGCCCCATGAAATAAATAAATAAGAGTGAAATAATTAAATGTATTTATTAAAAAAAAAAAACCCATTGAAAATTACATTTAAATATTTAATTTCATTATTTAAAAAGGGACATTTATTTAAAGGGACATTTAATTAACTGTGCATTTCATAATTTAATAGTATATTTAATGATTTAATGATGTATTAAATAATACATACAATTATTTAATGGGACATACAATTGAATATTTCTTTATTTTTTTAATGGTGTATTTATTTACAGTATGTCATGATGTATTTATTTAATTTAGTCAATTTTAACGCTCCAAACTCTTGTACCTGTCGAGCTGCTTTAGTGGTAGAACATGAAACTGAATCAGCTCCTATGTGTAACCAAACCAATCAAAGCAAAATGATTATTCCCATTTTCAGGTACTGCGATTGCTTATTTCAGAAAGGAAAATCAATTGGTAAATACATATTACATATTAAATTATCATAAACCTTATGCTGAGGACTGTCAATATAAAGACACTAAAATAAAGACTTTGAAACAAATACAATTAAGACAAATGGAAATCACATTTAAATTATTTTTGCAAGTATACTACTGTTAGCGCAAACGTTGTTTATTCATAGACTGACTCCAGTTTGGAACGATGTGAAAACACTGAATCATAGCCAAAAAGAAAATAATCATAAAGAAACTCCCAAATAAAACCAGAATGCCCCTAATGCTGAAACAACTGAAATACTTTTTGTATTATAGGAACCAGAGCGATTTAACTTATAACTAAAATACCGTTGCTGCTTTTTCAAACCAGTAAACATTATGTGGAGTTAAAAAAGTTTTCTTTAAAACGTGTAAATAAACTTTTGTTCTACAACTTAAAGCTTATTGTCTAATCCCAGGCGTAAAATGTACATATTTTGAAGATAAATTACAGGCTAAAATCAAACTGTGTGCATAGTTTTTAAGCAAGTTTTTAGTTTTATATGTTGCTAAGCTCATTTTCTCATGAACGTTCCATCAATGGTAAATTTAATTTAAAATGTTCAAATCAAAACTCACTAATCACAATTCATACACATTTATGAAACAATGAGCCATGTTGTCCAGTTTAGTTAAGATTTTTATACGTTGAGCTTTGCTACACATTAAAATCACATGAAAGTTTGTAAAAACTAAAAACTAACTTAAACCCCACTAACTCTCTGATTCGCTACAGCCGTATGTCCCACCACGTTCCCTGAGGTCTGCGGACCAGTTGCTCCTCACAATTCCAGGAACCCGTCAAGTATAGAGGTGACAGGGCCTTCTCTGTAGCAGGACCAAGACTTTGGAATGAGTTACCTCTGCTTGTCAGACAGACCCCCTCCCTCTCAGTTTTCAAATCCCGTTTAAAAACCCACTACTATTCAGTAGCTTTCAACACCAGAGGATGTGTTTTTAACCTGTTTGCTTCACACAGGTTAGTCGTCATATTATTATCTGCATCATTTTTATGTCTATATTCTGATTTACCTCATTTTGTATATTGCTGTTTTTCTGTCTGTACAGCACTTTGGTTGGCCTTGTCGCTGTTTTAAGTGCTCTATAAATAAAATAAGTTTAATCGTGCAATCTGAAACAAAGAAACGTTTTAACTTGGATTGAAACAATTAAGATAATTAGCAATTAATTGTCCGTTTTATGATTTGCCTCGTTAAGTATTTTAATTGTAAACGAACAAAAAGTCAATAAACCATATAAATTCTTCCCATATAATTAGACCAAATTTGAACTCATCTAAGAAATATTGTTTACTAATTAGTTATCCACACTTCCTTCAAGTAGTCACCATTACGTGCCCTCATTGAAAAACATTGGGACTATTTACAAATCACACAGCTACTTGGAGGCAAGGCCAAGAAGTAAATGGAAATCCTTGATCCGGGAGGAAACCGTAGTTTAGGAGTAAAAAGAGCAGCTTTAATTTTGAGCAACTGTGGACTTTAGACAACATTAACATGCGTGTTTTTCTTGAGTTGCTGACTTGACCAGCAACACCCCAAAGGTTTTAAAGTAATGCTGCTATAGCTAACTTAGCTAGCTAAAAAAAAAAACGGCTAAAGTGTTAGCACTTGTTGCAGGCCAACAAAAAGTTTTGGGCGTTGTTTTATGTCACCCCGTCTTACTATAAAACACGACAGACAGTATCTTTTAAAAGATTATTTTCAAAACGCGTAACCAGAAGCATAAAATACTCACATTGTGGAAAAGTACTTTCTTTAGACGAAACCGTCGCTGTTTCTAGTTGTAAATGTTTAGCCGTAACACTTAGTGCCGTCGCTTGATATGCTGCCTTCAGGGCTACCGGAAACGGGAGACGTCAAACATAAACCAGGAACAAAGCGACAGCAAAAAAAAAAAAAAGGCAAGATAAAAACAAATAAAACGTTACATCCTAATTCCATAATTTCAGAAGAGATTGTATTGTAATATTCGATCTGCGCAATATTCTGGACATAGTTTATATAAGTTTAATATAACTTCCTTTTTTTCCCAGTTACCCGTGAACTTCGGGCATTTGAAGTCAACATTAAAGAGTGAGTGGATGGATTTCCTCCACCTTCAGGAATACAGTACCTGTACTGAACTGTGACCTTAAATGACCTTAAATACAAAAGTGTTGCCCTAATCCTCAGTATTTTCAATCCCCATCCTTTCATTGTTAGTGTAAAAGTAGAAATGTAAAAAGAGCACAGCCTTAAATGCGTGATCAGCATGTGATCACAATAAACAAAACTGCTTTCAGATTTTTTTTTTTCTGTACATTTAATCTTGTTTTTCAGGCTCTGTCTTGAAAGGTTTGCGGAGAACAATTACAGTCTTTGTTTAAAAAACGTTCAGATTTAAAATTAAATACTGCAGGCTGCATGGGTTTTGGTTTGTTGTTAATGACTGCAAAGGGAAGAGAAACAACATATTCCTTATTACCTTACAAGTGTATCCTACAGACAGACTGTGGATATTAGGGCTGATGGAGAAGCCTTACCATGGGACAAACGTGGTCCAAAATCTCCTAAGGCTAAAAAGCATGCCAGTTTTAAACAAAGTTTTATTTTGGTGCGGTTAAAGTTATCACTATGGAAACAATAAGCTTTAAATAACTGTGTTATTCTAGTTTTAATTTCAGTTTTTCACATTAAAAGAATTAATGCAGTCAAAGCTCAGTGGATGAACAGGTAGGAATTGAGGTAAAGTAAGGCAACAAATGAAAAAGAAATAAATGAAAACATAAACAAATGTAAAAGGTGACAAGATCAATCTGTCACAAATGATATATTTGTTTGGATAAAAACTTTACAAAAATACACTGACTTAAAAATCAATACACCTTTATTAAAATCTTTATATAATGCTTAATATTGGTTAGATGAAGCTTGACCAACCACAAGCATCACAGCAGATTAGATATATTCTCAAAAGTAATATAAGATATACTAAAAAAACATGATCTAAATGATATCAAAGCAACAATTACCAGAATATTTTTAGAACTGGTTAAATATAATAGCAAAAACAGGTCTTAACATTTATGCTGACCATCTATTTTTATACTTTAATTTCTGTAACATGAAACTGGCATCTGGGAAAACAAAATGTATGTTCTTTTTATCATCACATTTATGAATATTTTCATTCTTCTTCTTTTTTTTTTTCCCAGGTGAGACCACAACATTGTGGTTTACATTTATAATATATTTGTTTTATCGTTGTTGTTATTTTGTTGTCGTTTCAGTAATGAGTTAAAAACAAAACTGAACTTGGGGACAAGCCTTTGTTTTTTCATTGAGAACCCAACAATGTCATCTTTTACTCTCCATCTTGGTTACATTCCAGATCCTTCATCAGACACCGCTTCCTTTGCAGGATTCTCAGGTTTCTGACAAAAGAAATGTACATATTTTTTAGCAGATGTCTGTTTGTAAAGTTTTTTTTTTTTTTTGCATAAAAAGCATGATTCAACATCAGAAAATATGGCTTACATCATTTCTTTCCTTCTTGGCAACAGCATTGTTGTACAGCAAACTGGAAGTCTCCTCCTGCAAACGAGTTGCGTACATTATCTCTCACTGCTTTACCTCTAGTTTCTGCTCCCAGTAGCAATCCCCTTTAAAGTACTGTCAAAATGTTGCAACAATCTAAATCCTTACAATAAATGCATCTTATCAATGAACACGTTATGATTTTTTTTTTTGTCTGTAAACAGATCTCACTTGTAAATGAGTCTTCTATGCTCAATGTGACTTATCTGTCTAAATAAAGGCTGAATGAATGAAAATGTTCTGTTTACTGGCTCTCGGCTGTACATCTGATCTGTGCAGCGGGTGAACCAAGTCACAAAGTAACGTTAATGACTTTGCAGGCCCGGTATGAAGGCACACAGTAAAGCATCTCACTGCCACGCTTGACTAAGTTACACTTCATCCCATTAAACAGAGCACTGCCTCTCAGCTCTTAAGCCCACTTTCTGGATGTGGTCTTTGTTCGTGATGTTTGGTTTCATATGGACAGGGTCTCACTGAGTGCAGATATCCAGCTGCTCAAACTGAGACACGACCCACTTTTCTACTGAACCTCCACTGCTGACACTGTATACCTGCTGACATTTGAACTTGAGAATAAAACAGAAATCCTGCAGAGAGGGGGTCTGAATACCTTCTAGGGGCACTTGTCCATAGGAATAGGAAGTTTGGTATTTTGTATTTTCAATCTTGTATGTATATTTTTCTCAAAAATACACAAAAACTTACCTTTTAATTTTAAATTTCAAACATTAACTCTGTCTTTATGATCAATAACATAGTTTATGCTTTAATGATAACAAGGAAGCCCTCTGATTTCCATAATTTCATCAAGACGTACACAGAAACAACAATTCTTAGAGGACATTCGTTTTGCTCTGCAGCGGTGAGTTCAGGCGCTCTCTTACATGTTGTACATTCATGTCCATCTGCTCTTCAGCCTCGCCGACCTCTGTGCTGCACCCCCCTGGAAAACACTCCAATCCACGTTTTTCTCTTATTTTCTGCAGGAAGTCATATGCTGTCGACTTTTCCAGCAGCACTACCAGATAAATGCATTCATTTAACCCAGAAAATTGCAGACAGCTTTCATTTCCTTTAGAAAAACACTAAATCAGTTGGAGTCCTGTAAGAACATCTCACCTCCTTCACAGATGTTGGTAATCAGGACCATCACGATCAGCAGTCTTACAGCCATGCTGTCTTGCAGACTCTTCATCTGTGGCCCCTCTCAGCTCCTGGCACTTTTTCTTTACAACCCCCACGCCCACAGCGGTCCCCGCCCCTACACACACCATCCAGGACCAACAAGTGTCAGGTGGATTCATCTGCAAGGCGAGTGAGCAGCTGTATCAGGTAACACATTTAAAACTGTGAGTGAAACAATTCTATGAATCTTCTCGGTACAAGGTGACGTCAGAAGCAACTTTTATTTTTGCATGAGTTGTGTAAATGCAGCAATCAGCCCTCTTCAACACTGAACTCAAAACCATCAGATTGCATCTTCAGTAATTTAGTGACAACTGGAAACAGAAAGACAACGACTGGATCCAACTATGATCCAAGGCAGTTAGATTACCAAATATGGGAATAGATGTGTTTTATTTTTTGTACATCTGAAATGTACAACCCCAACTTAATAAACCATATGAACTCCTTAATAAAACACGGGGTTTCAGGACCTGCCTTTATGAAACTGTACTGAAATGAATCTGCTGTGAAATTATAATCTTTGTAAACAGATTATTTCCTGCATCCAGAAGAAGGAACATTTAAGATGTTACTGGCTTGGTGTTTTCAGGACACTTTGGACTCTGACATACGTAACATGACTCAAGATGGCTGCCACAATCCCCACTAACACAAATTTAAAATTTGACTATTAACTATTTGGAGTCAGTATGTACATCTGTTAACAAAATATCCCACTAACCTCTAGACAGATTCAGCAGAAACTTTTATAAAATAATCAATGGATGTGCATCGATACAACTGATTAACTTTTGGAGTCAACCCCATTTAAAATGTCCACCACTGGTGGTCCAGATTATCCAACAAAAAAATGGCTTGAAGTCAATCAGTTTTACAGATACTGAGCTAAAATTGAATGTAGTAGTAGCTGGCAGTCATTCACAACACATACTTTGACAGTGACATCTTGTGATATTGCAAAAGATTGTGTATAACAAGTACAAAGTAAGTTTCAAGGGTTGACTAAAATAGCCACAACATAATTTCTCAAGAACAGATGATCTCAGTCTAAAACTCTGGCATGCAAGCTGTGGTGATTTGTAATCCTTCAAGGAATGCCAGGCCTTAAACTTTGACTGCCTGGTCAACAGTTTGGTTGACATTTTGAGTCACTAAATGTCAAAAAAGGGAGTGCCTAACCTAACTCTAACCCTAACTTTATTTACTGTTTTTATCAACGGTTCTTACTGTTTTAACCAGCTGTTCTTCTTTTTATCAGCTGTTCTTAGTCTTTTTATCAGCTGTTCTTACTGGTTTTGATAAGCTATTCTTATTGTTTTTATCAGCTGTTCTTACTGTTTTAATCAACTGTTCTTAGTCTTTTTTATCAGCTGTTCTTACTGTTTTTATCAGCTGTTCTTACTGTTTTAATCAACTGTCCTTAGTCTTTTTTTATCAGCTGTTCTTACTGTTTTTAATCAGCTGCTCTTATTGTTTTAATTAGCAGACAGCTGTTCTGTTTTTATCAGCTGCTTTTACTGTTTTTTTCAGTTGTTCTTATTGTTTTTATCAGCTGTTGTTTTTTTTATCAGACCTTTCAGAACTTTGGGTTGTGTGACCGAAAGAACGAGATCTCAGATACAAGTGTCAGAAATGAGTTTTCTCCGGAGGGTGTCTTGGGCTCTCCTTTAGAGAAAGGGTGAGAAGCTCGGTCATTCGGAGGGACTCAGAGTAGAGCCGCTGCTTCTCCACGTCGAGAGGAGCCAGTTGAGGTGGCTCAGGCATCTGGTTAGGACTTCCCGGACGCCTCCCTGGTGAGGTGTTCCAGACACGTCCCACCAGGAGGAGACCCAGAGGAAGACCCAGGACACACTGGAGGGACTATGTTTCTTGGCTGGACCTGGGAATGCCTTGGGATTCCCATGGAGGAGCTGGCCCAAGTGGCTTGGGAGAGGGAAGTCTGGGCCTCTCTACTTAGGCTGCTACCCCCGCGACCCAATCCCGGATAAGCAGAAGAAAATAGATGGATGGATGTTTTTTCATCAGCTGTTCTTACTGTTTTTATCAGCTGTTCTTACTGTTTTAATCAACTGTTCTTAGTCTTTTTATCAGCTGTTCTTATTGTTTTTAATTAGCTGTTTTTACTGGTTTTTATCAATTGTTCTTACTGTTTTAATCAGGTGTTCTTACTGTTTTAATCAAAATAATTGAAAATAATTGAAAGTTGAAAATAATTTTTTCATTTCTTCACCACTTGCTCTTGCCACGATCGGATGCTTCTCGCCTCCCTCTCCGCTTTGCTTTGCTGCTCTGTCTGTCGTTAATATAAACATTAGATCAGGCTTTTTTATGTTTTCTACTAGTCCTCTAAACTGTGCATACTGTTCAACAAACATTTGTTTAATATTTGTTATTATTATCAAAAAAATGTGTAACAATGTATCAAATAACAGGGTTGAAGACACGGTAACAGGGTTGAATGAATGACATTTAATCAAGTTAAAATTGACTTTAATTCATTCATTGAAACAAATGAGGAAAGAAATAACACTAGATATGTAATATTTAACATTGTTTAAAAATAGCATCACATTTAGATGGAACGGATCTGTTTTATGAGTGGAAAAAACAAAGGACAGCGTAGGCTGAACGCTGTATACAAAGTCTATCTCACTGGGATCAGTTTAACAATGTAACAACTGACATCACAACAAAATTACACTCAACTATAAATGTTAATATTAAAATAATGTTAAATGTGCTTGAACCTTCCATTTGTGCTATTAGCAGTAAAACAAAGTACATTGCTATCGGCTCTAAAAAATGGGAATTGAGCGTTAACTAAACTCTGAACTCACAAGTTTGATGAATAAAAGTGAATGTGGATGATTTATTTTCTTATCTGATTTGTTGTTCCTGCTATTTGTTGTTAACTCATCCTTCAGACAGTCTGTCCCAGATCTCTTTCTGAATTTGCATGTGACATGAATCACATCCTGACATGGGCTGAGGAGGCGGGACGAGCTCAAGAACATCATCAAATGGATACCACAGTACATCCTCTACATTGTAGAGTTTATCCCAACATGGTGCAAGCATTTGACTTGAACATTGGCGTCGTCTATGGAAAGGATTATTCCTGGATACAATGCTTTATCATAAGTGAGCACACACCACTCTCCTATTACCTCTGGGTCATCCCAATTGATTTGTTTCTGCACTTGTGACACAGTAGCTGGGACTTTCCTGACAAAGATGAAATGCTTTGTGTTCCAGCATTCACATTTAAGCTTTCCATTGGTGGAACACATGCTGCTAACAACTCGCAATGTTATCTCCCATCAAACAAGAGTAATTACTTGATGGATGTGCATGGTTCCTGGGACTGGTAGAATGGTGGATGGCATCCTTTGCAGTGCCTGCTCAACAGCTTCATCTTCAGTATAATACAATTGATCGAACTGTTCATATTGGACAGGGCCTTGAAGAGCTCATAAGCATTGTTGATGTCCCGGCCATGGCTGATAAGGTTATCAGCTGATCTCTTTAAGGCAGCACCAACACCATCTGGTTCTCCTTTGCCGTGACTGGACTCAAAAAAATTCCAGGTCCCTCTCAGTCCTCTCTTGTAATCTCTGTACTGAAGAGGAAAAACGTTTCCTTTCTGCCTGTACTGTGTACAGGGCCCATCACTAAAAAAAGTGCACAATAGACACATCTGGGTGTATGGTCTGCACATAGTCCAGTGCAGGTTTTAAATGTTCACATATGGCATCTGGACTCTTTTGTGAATAGTGAAATTGAAGTAAAGCAGGTTGGTTCTTGGGTTCCACCAACATAAATGACCCCTGTGTGAAGTGTGGACTGTTGGTGGGATGATCCAAAGTGTACTGACTGAATTTCAGAGTTGTACTTACAGGAAAAGTTATCAGAGAAGCCAATGTGGATAAGGCATTCATTAATGGTCATGCAGCTGCACAGTCCACAGCAGTAGGCATATTGTTGCCTGATGTTGAAGAGATGCCTCATAAACTTAGTCTTAGTGAGGTTTGTGTGAAACCTCTCTGCAAGCCCCTCACAATTTTTTTTTTACTATTATTTTTGCGAACCCGCTCTCTTCATTAGTTGATCAGTGAGGACCCTGGTCTGGCTTTCACGGCATCTTCATTCTCACTGTCAGGAGCATGTGGAGGAGTTAGAGTGGTAGGCCCACAGCTTTCCTTTTCTTTCTTTAGCCTTCTGCCACTCCTTGTGCTTTTGTCTTTGAGCTCGGGTCATTGATTGATTTCTTTTCCCCTGCTTCTTTATCTCTTTTTTTCATTGCTCACGCTCTTTCCTGAGGTATTTTTCCCTTCTCTGTGAATCTGCATTTCTTCTCGCTTTGTACTCTCTTTGCCTCTCTGTATTTGATTTAGCCATCTGAAAATAATGACCATGTAAAAACATTTAGAGAAAAGGGGCTGGCTGGTCGTGTATTTTTTTGTTTTGTTTTTTGTGTTATGGGGTTGAAAATTTCAGCTAAAAGTAGCCATAAGTGCACATTAGCTAGGGTATGGAGCAGCATGAGGAAAACAAGAAATTATTATAATTCTTTGCTTTTCCTCAAACAATAGTAAATATGATTTATGCATGTAACAGTGTTGAAAGGTTGAGCTTGACGATAACAATCTATGGATAAAAACAATGAAATATAGGTAAAAAAAGAATGTTAACACTTGGATCTCTTTACGGGGTGAGTGGGAAAAGACTTGAGTGATGTCACTTACTGGGTGCTGAAGAATTTGAACTGAACCACTATTTTTAAAAGGGGGGGGGGGGGGGGGTTGTATTCTGTTATGGGATTGAACAAAACTGGGGAGACACGATTAAAAAGTGCTATTTTATAAATAATTCATGTATTTTTCTCATATTCCTTCTATTTATGTTACAGTATACCGGCAAATGTTTATATTAGTAGAAATAACTTGCAGTTACTGGCTATTTTTATTTGTTTTATATTCAGTGAAACAGTAACATTGGTCAGTGGGGACATGCTCATTTGGCTGACCTCTATGCCTCAGCAACCCATAAAAATGTTCAAAACATAATTTTTCAAATACATTTGTGTATTATGTTGCAAAGACACATGGATATTGCCATTTATTGTTTTTTAATAGATTTTGTGGTTTACATTATATGAAAATCTTTGAGGTAAACCTGCGAGACACAAAGTGTTCCGAATTCAGAGAATGACCCATGTGGTATTGTACTGTCAGAAATATAAGAACTCAACTGATCAACAGTCTTGCTAAAATAAAAGCAAGGTTTGATCCAACTGAATTATTGCAAAGTTCAAAATCTCAGGCTTTCAATACAATATCTGAAAATGACTTGTCCCTTTGAAAAAAAGCTTTTTTTTTTGGTTTGTTTGTTTCTGAGCATTTCCATTCACGCTCCTTACCAGGTAGTGGCGGTATGGCACCAAATTGTTGTTTGCCAACCACCAACTAAAACCAAAGAAGAAGAACGCCCCTCCCACCTCATTGTTGTTGAGGCTGCAGTGTAACAGTCTGAACAGTAGGGGGCGCTTCACTCCACTTTTGTGTCCGGAAGTTTGTATTTGAAGCTCAGTCAGTCTTTGTTATTTACAAGTGGAGTCCAAAACCTAACATTTTTGTCTTTTTCCGTATTTCCCCCAAGATGTGGGTTCCACGTTAAGACTACAGTAAGTGTAAAAATGCAGCAGCTGTGAAGTAATGTCTCTTAAAACGGGCATTATTCGGCACCTAGCTTAAGTTAGCTTAGCTTTGTTTTGTCATTAGCGCATACGTCGCCTGCAGATGTGCCACATGTTAAATGTGTTTCGGAATGTTACTGTGTGTAATTAGTTCTACGTGAACTAGTGCAGTCGTTAGTCTTGTAACAATAACCTCGGCTACATTAGCCTTGGCACGTTCAGGACTGCGGGTCTCATGGAGTGGTGCATCGTCCACGCGGCCTTCTAGTTGCGGGTTTCTTCAAACAAATTAGGTCTGTAACCATTTTCAGAGTTACTGTAACATTGTAAAATGCTTCTTTCAGTAATATTCGCAAATAAACTCTGTTGGTGTTAAAATCACGCGTTATTCCTAAACCATTATCGTTTAATTTAGAAGTAATCTTACTGGTTGGAGGATAAGAGCTGACCTTTAATATTGTATTTTACTTTTTATGTTCAGATTTGATTTACCATGAGTTCACAGTCGGCCCATCCTTCAACTTCTACCTCTTCGGGCCGGACCCCATCTGGAGAGAGTAATCAGGTAAAATAATAAAATCAGCCACTTTCACATTTTTTGTCTTATAGACTTTTGTTGTTAAACTGTTTCATTACTTGCTCAGGTACAACCAAAAGTCCCGCTGCTGCAGATTCTGCGTGTAGCTGGAGCACAGGAGGATGTCTTCACACTCAAAGAGGTAAGATGACTTGCTTTTTACCAGTTGATCAGAAGTCTTTTTTTATTACAGTTTATATTACTAAGTGTTTTGTTCATTTGCCTGAACAGGTGATGCATTACTTGGGTCAGTACATCATAGAGAAGCAACTATACGACAAACAGAGGCAGCACATTGTTCACTGCCAGGACGATCCTTTGGGAGAACTGCTGGAAGTTGAGAGCTTCTCTGTGAAAAATCCGAGGTATTTACCTTCAACCAAAACAGTCCTACTCGTATCAAGCTATTCTGGGACATATGTAAGTGCATAATAATTTTAGATTAAAAAAATTAACCATCAACTACTCTTTATTTTGCAGCCCAGTGTATGCGATGCTCAAGAAATACTTAGTTGTGCTTAGTTGTGCTGGTAAGTTGTTCCTTCGTTTAACTGTCTAAATTTTGATGCATTTTTTAATGGTTTGTTGTTTTTGATGGGTCATATTTAAAAAAAAAAAACATACATTGTGTTTCACTTACATGTTACTATGAAGACTAAAAGTGAAGACGAAGTGAAGTGAAAAAATATTAAGACTATATTCATGTATATAGCCTTTCCTCCAACATTTATTGCTGGAAGGTTTTACATCACTTGGGGATGCAGGGATTTTTTTATTTTAGCTCCAGAATAGGGCTGGGTGATATGGACCAAAATTAATGTCTCGATATTTTAAAGATTAATTATAATATATATCTCTATTTTTTTCTTTCCAAAAAGTAATAACAAAAATATATTTCTGAGTCAAAGCTTTGTCCCAGTTGTCGCACATCTGTAACTACAAAATAAATGTCTCAAAAAATAAGTTTTTCTCCTCCACAACAAAACCAAAAGCACAACTTAAAATGTAAACAGAAAACATACAGAGCAAACAATGAAAAGCTGACTTGCTCTTTAAAATGTCTGATTCTATTGACGTATATTCATTCAACCTTTATTAACCTTTATTAACAAAGCTGTTAGAAAGCCCTCATTGTTTTGTAGCTGACTTGTTTACAGAGCAAGGTTCTGTTTGGTTACGGCTTGTTTCTTTCTGAATTTCATGGTTCTTGCATGCGGTGTGACAGTTCCGACGCTAGTGAACGCACCGCTCTGTGCAAAGTGCCGCTGCGCGTGTCGGGAGTTGTTTTTCTCTCCCAGCACGCCTTGCTGTTTGAGCTTCACTGGTTGCTGCTGCGTGTAAATACCAAAAGAAACGCAGCAAATGAATCGCCCTAAGCTGGATATGTCTGTGTTTTTTAATGTGAAGACAACTTCATACCATGCTGCTCTAAACCAGTTAGTTTCCTGGGAAAACACCAAACCTCTCATTTGTAGCAGCTGCCCAGTCATTTTCACACATATCAGGAGTTTACATCTCCACTGTGAGACAACAAAGATCCATTGTGATGATTGATATCTGCATATGCATCTAGCATAGCTCAGCTTTATAACAGCAGCAGGAGGTGGGGAAGCGGGTGAGGGTGTGTATTCAGTGAGGGAGAGGGGGAGGGACCGCGTGTAGGTGCAGACTGGGAGAAAAGTTTATATAATTATAACTACCGTATTTTCCGCCTTTTTTAAGTCACACTTTTTTTGCATAATTTACATGCCCTGCCACTTATAGGCCGAAGCAACATATTTTTGGATTTTTTCCCCATATTTATAAACCAGTTTTTGGCTGAGATATGACCGTTTTCGATCATTCTGACTGGAAAAAAAAATGTAAGCAGAACCTCTTGATGGGAACAGAGTAGTAATAGCAGTATGGCATGCCGTTGTATCATGTAATAGGTAAACCTGGCTATAATGACAAATTCAAAAAAATTCAAGACCAAAACAACTGGACTTTATTTATTCTACTTTATACTTTATTGTTTTTGTCTTGGAACTTTTTTGAATTGACCATGTCCTGGATGACTGAGGATCTTCACCAGCTTTTAATGATACAATCGGCTTGCCATCGTATCCCCAACTTGGTTCTGCTTGCTGTTTGGACCGACCGTCAATCCAGCTGCACCATCCCAGCGAAATGTAGCTAATTTGACCATTAAAGTGCATTTATTAAGCAAACGTTAGACTGAGACACACATTTACTATAATTTTGAACAAACAAATAATTGTTTTTAAGTGTTAATCTTGTTAAATTCTTGTTAAAGTCCTCCCGTGACCGCCATTTGGCAGCCCATCGATTTTTGGCACCACACCGGTCCACATTTCCAGGTTGTCAGCGGTGACTCGGAACAAACACGATGCGTCAGCAGTGACTCATAATAGATGCGACGTATACGGCGAAGTGACATATTTATGGATTTTTCCACTTTATTAGACAAATATGGACTGATGCGACTTATAGGGCGGAGCGACGTGTACGGTGGAAAATACGGTACATAGAGTACGAGACTACATTATATTGTCTTATATTGATAGAGTCTAATTTAATATCGCGTATGAAATTATCTAGATATTTAAAAAATATCGAGATATCGCCCAGCCCTACTCCAGAAGAACAAAAACTTTCCAGCTTGTTCTTCATATTCATTGAAAAGACTCACTCCTCTCTTCTGAAGGCCTTAAGAGTCTATACTACCATGATTAAAAAGGGGGGGCTGTCCTTTGTTACTGTGTTTTATCTGAAATGCAGACGCTGCAGAGAATCTTTCAGTGGGCCGTGAGTGTGTAGAGGGCGGAGTGGAAGATCCTGGTCAGGTAAAACCGAAGCATGGTGCTCGGAAGAAACAGAGACCCTCTGCCTAACTCGCCTCACTGCACACAGCACATGACTTGGTGACTTGTAGGCTAGCTGCACAGTGAAGTAACAAATCCCATGACTTCACTTCAGGTTTACCTGAACATGGACGTAATTACTGCTTGTGTGCACTGAGGGGAGTGAGGTCAGGGCTGCTGTCTTCGTTGATGTACATCTGTACAGAGTGGCACCGTCTCTGTACAACCCCATCCTTGGTGTGGTCTGGTGGTATTTACAGCCCTTGTTTTGAGCTCCACCTCCTCCACCCAGTGGATGGGGGGCAGAGTCACTGTCTCTGTCTGTCTCAGAGTTCTCTTCTCTGCTTCACATTGGAGGATCTCAGCTCCTGATCAGCAAAGGCCCAATAATCCTAAACCTCTTCACTCATCCCCATGTTCTGTTTTTACTGTTCTATCCATTCCCGTCAATATCCACTTTTCTGAATGTTTATGTGTGAGTATTTTTTTATTGCAACGTAAATACTTTTTTTTTTCATGTAGGATGATTGTATTTCTAGCTGACTGCCTGATGTAGTTTTGTATCCATTAAGTTTTTAAATCTTTAATTTAAAAAAAGCTGTAATTGTTTTCATCAGTTCTTCCCTATTATGAGTTATTCAGATGTATGTAAGAGGAATTTGATCTCGTTTGATATAAGCGTCATTGATTTTCTGTGCTGTGCAATAAAAATATTAAATAATTGTATTAAATGCCACAATTTTAGAAGAGCTGAAATGCTTTGAACGCGAGTTTATTTGTGGAGAATTGGTTCACAAGGCTTTTTCATTGTTTCACTTAACACGTTCACAAATTTAGTGTAGAATTAGCCCCCTCCCTTTCCTCCATGTTTAAGTCCATATTTAAATCCTCACCTCCTCCCAAAATCCAAAGGCCAGCCTGAAATGGAGCTGCGAGTCCTCCAGGTATCCAGTCACGGCTCTGTGATGTAATTTTCTTCATTTCACTTCTCTCCACAGGCATGTGGAGGTGTGGTCAAAGCAGGAGTGGCAGCTGACAGTGACAGTCCTCTTCTGCAGACCCCCTCCCAGAGACGACCTCGAGATCCAGATGATGGCGAGTTAGCCGTTTTTAATCTTTATCATTCTACTCTGGTTACAAAACACAGACTTTAACTGTTCAACACCTCCTCAGAGTCTGCTGAAGGCCTGCCACGCTCGGCCTCCAAACGTCCCAAACTGGATGTTACCCTCGACGAGTGGGACCTCTCGGGTCTGCCTTGGTGGTTTCTGGGTAATCTTCGTAATAACTACAGTCGAAGGAGCAACGGCTCCACTGACATTCACACAAACCAAGTAAGAGACAGTATTTGTTGCTAACGCTGCTCAGATTAAAGCTAGGGCAAGATTCATTTGGGAATATTCAACATTACAATTATTTTAAAAAAATAAAATAATAAAATAGAAATGCAAGACAGTGACTTGCCAACCGTTAAACTTTTATTAACTGGACAATCATGCGCAGACATGTTACTAGGCCTGTCACGATAACAAATTTTTCTGGGCGATACATTTTCTCAGAAATTATTGCGATAATCGATAATATTGTTTGAAACTTGACAATAATTATTATTGTCAAATTTAAGAAAAATTGTTTAATTTGTTTTGCGTGTAGCATCTATTTGTAACCACTGGATGGCAGTATAAGACTTTTTAAACCGAAGGATGGATAGTGAGGGAGCAGCAGCGTGTCTCTTTAAGAAAAACATGAGCGAGGCCTCTTGACGTGTCATGGACGGTCTCTCTTCAATTCTCAAAATGGCGGACGCTCGTTGTGGTTTGAGCTCTTTAGCATAGCATTTTTCACACAAAGCTTTTAATAAAAAAATCAGTAAACAAGTTCTCCGCTTCTTTTTGCAGAGAAAAACAACGTTTTACACGAAGGCACGAGTTTCAACTGTGACTTTTGGAGCTTTGACAAGATGGAGGTTTTTTCCGTGTTCAGCCTGTTAGCTTAGCTCGTAGCTTAGCTTCTCAGCTTAGCTGCTTTTAATGATCTAAAAATGTTATTTTTGACGGTTAAAACTGATTTTAAAGAGAGAGAGAGGGAGGGATCAGTGAAGAGCGCCGGAGTTGAGTTTTTTGTCGTCCAGTGTCTTCAATAGAAAGAGACATGAAGAAACGATAAAGTCGATAAATGAAAATGAGGTAGATAATTTTCATATATCATGCGATTAATTGATTTATTGTTTATCACGACAGGCCTACATGTTGCATATTGAAAGCTTATTGCGGCAAATGGTTAATTTAAAAAATAAAAATAAATGATTCTGGACATTCACCTGTTAAATGTTTTACAGCGTTTACTTTTATAGGCCACAGATTATTTCTAGCAGATAATCGGACTGATGAATCAGCTGTCTGTCGCACAGGAGGACACAGCCGTTGTGTCGGACACCACAGAAGACCTCTGGTTCCTGACCGAGGCCGAGAGCGAACAGGTGAGTGTGGAAATGAAAGAAGCTGCTCTGGCAGAAGGAAGTGGAGGAGAAGAAGGATCACTCGACGGTGATTATGGAGGAGGGAAAGAGGAGAAGGCAGACCGGGAGGTAGGAGCCAATTCATGACTTTTTAAGCTTCATACTCCTCAGTAAAGATGTTTGTCTGTGAAGGATCTTTAGTGTCAGGCGTGTGATTTACTCAACACCACTGATGCATTTATTTAGATGCAGGAGGAGCCTGATGAAGACTCCCAGTGTCTGAGTGATGACACCGACATAGAGATCTCCACACAGGTTTGCATCTCTTCAGGGTTCAAGTTTTTTGTCCTCCTCGATGATACTTGAAAGACTTTGTGTGTCCTTTGTGTCTCAGGATGCGTGGCAGTGCACAGAGTGCAAGAAATATAACACACCTCTCCAGAGGTACTGCGTCCGCTGCTGGGCTCTACGTAGAAACTGGTACAAAGACGTCCCGCGACTCGCTCATTCCCTGTCTGTCCCTGACATCCCAGCATGCACCTCTCTTTCCACCCACGGTGACGAAGATGACAGCAACACAGGCATCGATGTCCCAGACTGCAGCAGAACCGTGTCTGATCCGGTCATCCTGCCCTCCCACTCCACGGCCGACCGACCCGTGTCCACCGTGGTTGAGGGTAAAGGCAAGGGGCCGCACCCGTCTGGCCACCTCGCGGAGGGGGAGAGTCAGGAAAGTTTGGGTATGGAAGTTGAAAACATGCGACCAGAGGCGTTGTTGGAGCCTTGCAAGCTGTGTCGAGTGCGACCCCGTAACGGGTGCGTCCTACACGGACGTACAGCTCACCTTCTCACATGCTTCAAGTGTGCGAAGAGGCTGCACAAGTTCCAGGCGCCTTGTCCAGGATGTGGAATGATTATTCAGAACGTTATTAAGGTATTTGTCCTTTGAAAAGCAGATAAATTGATTAGTCAGAGTTAAGGAATCTAAACAAAGATACATATGAGCTAACATAGAAGGTAAAAAAATAAATTATGACACTCATAGAAATGCCTGTTTATATAGATGCATAAGCAGAAGCTGCACCTTATTCATTTAGAACATCTACAGAGATGAATTGCATCACTTGGTGAAGCTTGCTCTTCATGCTGCATCACACTGCCTGTGAAGTATTTGATGCAGCCTTGGACAAGGGAGCATGTACCAGATGTTTGTTTTGTTGAGATATTTAATATAAGGGACAAGGCAGAAGTATTTATAAATGCTCATAAGAAGTAAACTGTTGTGGGCAATTTCATGAAGGCTTATTTTGTTTGTCTTTAATTTTAAGACCGAGTTCTCTTAACACCGATCCTTGTTTAATTTTGAAGTAATTTGAAATTGAGTGATGTGTTTTTCCGTCTGCGCTGTTTTGTTTTTTTCTCCCCTCCACAGATTGACGTCAGTCATACAGACGAACATTTAACAGTCAGGTGCGTAGTGCAAAATAGCTCAAGCTTTTTTGATTTTCCGTGTTGTGATTCAGAGCGGAGTTGCTGTATAAAGAGCTTGCACGTTTTTTTTTGTTTTAGCAGCTCCAGGATCTATAAACGCCTTCTTTCGAACCTTTTTAGATGTGTGTTTTCAGCAAAAGTAAATATCTTGTAGAATAGCTAAATACCTACGTGGCACCGGTAGGTTTGTATCGTTTAGTGGGTAGTTTGAGTTAAATATTTACAATTACTAATAAACCTGTCGGTTACATCTACAAAATACCCCTTAATTTTTGGTTTCTGTTATGATGTTCTCCAATTTATTTTCATCACACTTGAGTTAAATACAGAGTTGAATAGTATGTAATTTATTTGAGACGTCGCTTGTAATACAGTGCTAATGTGTAAATTTACTGTTTTTTTTTTTTTAACTGGGAGTTTGATTTAAATGTTTCACTGCCATATAACGACTCTAACCTTGCATTTGTGTACATTTTATTTGAATGGTTCTGAATTGTGTAACGTGCCGCTGGACCTTCTTGATGCACAGATTTATTTTTTTTAAGCCTTTTACGTGTGCTTTATCTTTCTGCCAGCAGATGGAGTTATTTTAGTCTTGTTAATATCTGCAAAAACATCAGAAATAACCTGTGATACACTTGAAGCATGCCTGTTGTCATGACTAGAACCTGCACAGAGCTGCTTTGAAACACGACTTGTTATATATATATATATATATATATATATATATTTAAAAAAAAAAAGAAGTAAAGACGATTATATTTATCAGCATTATTAGGCATAAAAAGTAATTGTAACAACGTATAAACCTTGTGACTAAATGCAGAAGGATGGTGGCACAATTGGTCAAATTTGGTACTTTTTGTTTTGGTTACAGTTTAAATGTTTTGTTGAGCAATAAAAAGTTGCAAGTTCGATTGTTTGTTCTTCGTCATCAGGACCGTTAATGTACGTCGTGTGTTGGGCTGAACAATAAGTCATTGTATGACAGGCCAGCTGTCGCGTGTCTCCTCCTTGACTGAGCTCCAGCACCTGCACCTCCTCTCTGCTTACTCACTGTTTCTCTGCGGCTCGTCTTTAACTTATTTTGGTCCCGGTCTTGAGAAGTAGGGCAGACGTATCGTCCTCTACTGTGCTGGAAGCTATTTGAGCTCAGGATGTTATTTAGGTGCTGGTTACTCAGAGTAAATGTCGTTAGTGGAAAGTCCCTTGATAAGTCGTCTAAATGGCAACCATGGATCCAATAACAACTCTCATACGCAAAAACAAAACTTTTCTCGTTTAAATTCTTTTAATTATTACTTAGTCTTATTGAACTTGTGGGGGAAAATGACTAAATCTAACATTTTCTTTAAATTTTTTTTAATTTAAAATTTTCCCCCACCATTTTCTAAAGGAATCGTCTTGTGTTCTTGGTAAATACGAGCCTTTTTAAAATATAGTTGATGCCTCACGTAGAGTACATGCCAAAATGACACTTTGAAATTAGTTTATTCTGTTTAAGGCGGTTGAGTGTAGTTTAACAAGTTTTACATTGGATGCAAATGTAAAAAGAAAACCAAAACATTTTTCAGGAACTGAAGTCGTTTATCACATGTACCAAATGTTTTGTTTGTTTGCAGAATTACTCAAAAAATAATTTTAATAAGGAGACAACTTAAACGTACACATCTGGGTCAGAAAAAAGGGTTGTAAGCCCAATCATCCAGGTAGATAACAAAAAAAAAAGGTTAAATCGTGTCATCTGGACCAGTTTCTTTAAGTGAGACGTTTCGTTCCCCATCCTGAGGACTTCTTCAGTCCACATCCTGCCAACCAGATCTGTCCCATTGGTAGCAGAGTTCAGAATTTTTTAAAATTTGTTTTTAGAGCCTTGAAGTCTTAATGCAATCCATTTATAAAAAGCGATATTGTAAAATATCAAGGGGACGTGGTGGTGCAGAGGTTAGAGAAGGCAAGCCTGTGATCAGAAGGTTGCTGGTTCGACTCCCCAGACTGACGACAAAATGTGGATTGGAAATGTGAAACACCGGCTTCCACCCTCATTTGCCCCACTCTGGGCCCTTGAGCAAGGCCCTTAACCCCCACAACCTGCTCCCCCAGGCACCCTAAGTGGCAGCTCAGTGGTCTGTGGTTGCATCAGGAAGGACATCCAGCATAAAAACAATTGCCAAGTCTTCGTACGAGTTAGTTCACTGTGGCGACCCCCTGAGGAGCAGCTGAAAAAAGAAGTATTGTAAAATATCAATATAAAGTCGAAGCTTCAGTTAAGCTCATTATATGAGCGTCTCAAATAAAAATGCAAATCAAACGACTGGAAACGTCACTCAAAGTGTGGTGATTTGTTGAACTAAATGCATCACTCACGCCAGAACACTTCGTCTTCTGTATCTAAGTCGGTGACGGTGTCTGTGGCATCTGGTGCGTCACAGAGTAAAGAGGAGTAGAGGATGAAGAACGGCCTAACACCCCTGGTGACATGGCATCCAGACCCTGGCAGCTCCAGAATGGCATGACCCAGGGAGTGGTGAAGGATCTGCATGTTTCCATGGCGACAGTACTCTCCATCTCATCATCCTGACTCATTGTATCTTCTTAGCCCTTCTGTACGATACAGTTCTTACGACACAATTAGTTCTTAAGGGGAAAGTGTTTTTGTTTTTCCTATTTCCTAATTACATTTTAATGTCTGTAAATCCAGTATCTTTGTGGTTACACTGTCCTTCCCCCGCATGCCTCAGTACCAGTAAACCTCAGCCAGTTAAAACTTGTTTGGATTTTTCTGTTTGTGTGTCTGGACGTGTGTAATTGTATCTGCCAGGATCTTTCCTTTCTCACCTTCACAGAGACGCACGCATTTTCCTTTGTTGTTGTCCGACTATTTTGTCGCTCCAGAAACCGGACTGCTAAATTTGTCCACTGTTGACATGAGAGAAGGTCACTGGAGCCAGAAACTAACCGAGAGGTAGAAGAAGGTGTAAAAATAGTTTGAATTGAAGAGAGTGGTGGTGGTGGGGGGATGTGTTCGGTTTCAAAAATAATAACGAAAGAAACAAAAAAATGTTTATTCTGAAACCATTTCTTTACAAATGATAATGAAATGAGATATACAAGCAAAAATTTCACTCTACAGGTCCATGTAGACAACTTACAATCGTTTTTCTTACAAAGAGATGTTCGATTGTGATTCAAACTTTGTAATGTCAGAGTGTAAAGTCACACAAAAATAACTGGATTTAGTCACACTCATAATTTATTTAAGAAAAATTGTGAATTTTGATCACAATTCTAATACAGAGACTTAAATATATTTCTGTTTTAAAGTTTGAAGCAGGTTTACATCATATTTATCTGATCGATTCCCGTTTGTTCAATTAAATAACAAATCTTCATACATCAGTCATGGGGTTCCACAGGGTTTGGTGCTTGGACCAGTACCCTTCATGTTTCCTTTACATTAAAAAATATTTGAATGCAGGGAATACATTTCCATTGTTATGCTGATAAAACAATTATTTTTATTCATAAAATTTGAGGAATGCAATCGGTTACTTAGAATATTCTAAACTAAGAATACACTAAGCACTAGTAGTACAAAAACAATCCGCCGAACAACAGCAGCACAAAGATACACTTGTAATCGAAGTTCATATCTTAGATCTTATTACTTTTTTTCCTTTTACAATTTATACTTTTGTTGGATGTAACTGGGACCCTGTGTACATAATTTTATTCCAGCACATGTACCACGTGATGCGAATGACGATAAAGAAATCTTGTTCTTGGAGACAAACACCTGATGCTCAGCTTTCAGCTTTTAAATTTAGACAAGACAGAGGTTGTCGGTCTTTGGAACAGATTTTGTAATCTTTCCCTTTCTCTGGAAGGCATTACATTGAATTTAACTTCCACAAATGTGACTAGGACTGCATTGTAGATTTTGTAGGACTGGTTCTATCTACTTACTGAAATTGGTGACATCTTGTGATGGAGAAATTTATTTATTATTTATTACTTCTAGGATGAACCATTGTAATTCCTTATTATCCGAATGTCCCCAAATTTTTTCTAATAAGTCTAGCTGATCCAAAATGCTGCTGCTAGATATCTGAAAGAGTTAGAAGGAGACCTCATGTTTCAACAGTTTTAGCTTCTCTCCATTGGCTCCCTGTACATTTTAGAATATAATTTAAAATCTTCTCTCAACTATCAAGCTTCTCTTTCCTGTTCTCTCGACTCCACAACCATTCAGGGCAGATGGTCGCTCATCCTGATCCTGGCTCTGCTCGAGGTTCTTCCTGTTAACAAAAGTAATCATTCCTTTCTACTGTCGCCAATATGCTGCTCAGGATGAGGGATTACAAGGAAGTGAAGATTTGATGCAATCTCCTAGTTTCCTTAAATGGACAGCTTTTTACAAATCTGCATTTTGTAATAAACACATCTGTATTTTTGTACAGTGTAATAAATGATTGTATTGTATTTGACCTCAGCCTGCTTTATATTGGATTGGATGTAATTTGATATAATTTGGACTAGTTTCCTTTTGTACAGTGCCCTGGAATGACTTCTGGTGTGAGCTGGCACCAAATGAATGAACTCAACTGAACTGAAATCAAAACTATCAAGCACATGGGTCCTCTTTTGTTTTCCTGCTAACCAAAGGCATTAAAAATATATGGTATGTCATGTAAAACTGGTTTATTTACAGTAAATAGGAAGCATACTTGGTGTTGTGAAGTATGCTAGTGGAGAGTGGGTTACTGGTATGTACATAGAGTGTATACTGTACGTGTGTTTGTGTGTGCTGGAGCCTCGTGGGGAGCGGGATGCCAGCGAAGGGAAGGGCAGCGGATGGCTCGGAGGCCTCAGTCCATTCCTCTGATTTAACTTGACACCACTTGCACTAAGACTGCGACAGCTGCATGTGCACATGCCGGCCATTCTGTTTGTTGTAGGGGATTACGCCGCGATAAAAGCCCCAGTGAGTAGCAGTGTGGCTGGGCAGCAGAACTACTGTCCCCCCCACAACACCACCGCGCCTCCAATGACTTAGAAAGCTTTCTCCAGGCCTCCAGAGCCCTGTGAAAACACAGGTGGGGCACTTCATTCTGAACTGTAATGAATGGGAGTATTCTCCTGGTGATTGGCCAGGCAGTAGTAGGGTCACCTCGCCTTTAGACATCAGTTAAATTGCTCAGCGCTGCAGCTTATGTAAGGCTCATTACTCAACAGAAGCGTTGAAGGCAAAGCAGTGTGTTTAGTGCATATGACTCCATTCATTTTCCTTCAGAATATTTACACCGATTCACTTATATTGTGTTGAACGTAATGATTTGTACAGAGTAGGGGGAAAGTTCCTTGTAATCTGTCACCATGATGTGTAGCTGCTCTAAAATCACTGCAATCAGAACGATCTGATTTCTAGGGTTCAACGATGGATGTGCTGTTATCAAGAGGGCAGTAGGGAATCGGTATCAGAGACGACACATTTGGACATCTGTTGTTATCACTATGGTGACCACATCTTCTTCCAGAAGTACCAATAGTACAGCATGAACACCATTTAGGCTCAGTAATATGTTCTGGAGTAGTCCAGACATGAGAAATAAGATTTAATAAGGTTTATTTTTTTTAATCGGATAATATTGTTCTGCTTCTTTTGCTTTTAAAAAGGTTAATTTAATGCAATTTGCTTGTCCTCAGTGTTCAGCATGATGTACATTTAAATAACAAAAATAATGTAAATAAAAAAGGTCCTCAAAAATTCACACCTCTCCTTTTAGATTGTATGTCTTGTTTTTGTTTTAGCAATTAAAAAAAAAAAAATCCCTGGATATTAAGTTAGTCTACAAAGTAAAGCTGGCATATGAATTAACAAATTAATTAAAGTATAACCAACACAACATGTCTGT